TAAAAAAATTAAATGGCGAGTCTTAATTTGAGGCGTCAATGCGTATATGAACAAACAAATAATTAAACACAATATCCACATATATATAGACAATACGATATTAATATATTCGTGAAATAAAATTAAGTTTTGAAAAAATAAAACAACCAAAAATAACGGTAGAAATGCAAAAATTATTAAATATGTGTACAAGTAACTACTTTTCAGAATGATTAAAATTAATTCGTTCTGATATAAAATTCATAATATTTTAAGACGACGCCTACGAATGGCGATCATATAACAGTAATTTAAGTTTTACACAAAAAAGGTTAGTAAACAATAAGTGGTGCCTAACGAAACAAACTTTGAATAAGTAACTTTAAATGATAGTTGTAGAATGACATTTTTATAACAATATCATTCATGTCATTCTTATATGAATAGTTCGACAAAAAGTATTCACTTACCTTGATTCCAATAGTTTTCTTATATGTCTTATATTTTCTTGTCAGATTCACACCAGAAACCAGCTGATCCTATTATAATATAAGTATTTCACTTTGCACTTTGCACTTTCACAGCGTAGATGTAAGTTTTATGTTCACAACGTAATTTAAGTTTTTCAAATAGTTTATTTATTGTTATTTCACAGCGTTAATCAACTGTCCAACAAATTGAGCTCTTGATTGAAAAGCAAATTGAATTTTACTGGATGAAGGACTTATCGCTGCTTTTGATTATCGATATAAATGGCCGGTGGATTGACATATCGATAAAAATGGCCGGCGGCTGACTTCACATACGTTACAAAAATATTTTAAATATCGTAGTCCAGTCATTTAAGCTTAAATTAGGTAAGAATCTCGGAATTCGAGATACCAAGCTGTAAGTCTGTAAATACTTGTATATTGACACCCTAAAGTTGTCTCAAAACCTGCATATGGTATTGACACCCTACCATATGTAGGTTTTGAGACAACTTTTGCGTGTCAATATACAAGTATTTACATACTTATAGCTGGGTATCTAGAATTCCGAGGTGAACTTACTATAATGACTGGATTATTGTTCGTCTTGTGTTGATTAACGGGGTATTTTAGAGTAAAGGCATGAATTTTAGGTCATTTTTAAATTATCGTAAAAAACAGGCAATCAATTGTTATACCGTAATGTATAATTTCTTTAACATTACACAAGTACAGAAAAAATTAAAACAACAAAACAGTTGATAATTTCTAAAATTAACAGTTTGCGGTTGCAGCGGAGGGTTTAAAAACGATGACACATGAATATACCCTCGATCGCAACCCTCCTAGTAATCGGAAATTAAAAAAAAAAAGAAATTACTCTAGAATGATGTCGCAATCATAGATAAATAATAATAAATGTTATATACACACATATATATTAGGGTGGTCCTTAAAAAGGTCATTTTCGAATTTTCTTGCTCCCAGGGGCTCAAATGGTTCCAAATAGATAAAAAACAATTGTCTGAAAGTTTTAGCTCTTAATATTAACGTTTAGATAGAGCGCAAATAAATCAAAGTTTGTATGGAAAGAGCATAGTAAAAAATTTTAAAGTTTTAAAAAATGTTTTAGGTATAACTTAGCGGCAAATGAATGAGTTTTATTCATTCATTTGTTCGGTAAATTACATCTAAAAATCATTTTTTAAATTTTTGAAAATTTTTTCATGCTATTCCCATACAAAATTTTGATTGAATTGCGCTCTATCTAAACGTTAATATTAAGAGCTAAAACTTTCAGAGAATTGTTTTTTATCTATTTGGAACCATTTGAGCCCCTGGGAGCAAGGAAATTCGAAAATGACCATTTTAAGGACCACCCTAATATATATATATATATATA